GAAAAACACTCAGCCCCTGGGTTTTCGGAGTTATGGGGATGAGCACAGCCCTGAAATGCTGAGTACCACCAAACTAATCGTAACGTAGCTTCACAACGTCGTTTAACCAGTACAATTGAAGGTGGCTAATTTAACATAAGAACTTAACATAAGAACTTAACTAACCTACGCCAGGTCTCGACGTATTCTGCATGCCGGTTGCTGTGTAATGTCCATAGTGCCGGAGGTGAAGCATTTTGTAGGTGATCGACGAGCGCACTACTACTGAAGGCTCTCTTTTCAGGTACGACTCTTAAGCGTCACATCAGACTTGAGAACCTCGGGCAATATTTACCGGAACATTGAGACCCTGTCTCTCTAAGAAGCTCCCCCCCCTCCCCCCCCCCCCCCCGATTCCACGGTCCACGCCATTGTCAGTCCGTCGTCGAGAGGTGCGCGATGCCTAAAGATAGTTCGGTTTTCGGCACGGACTTTGCATGGACGCGCTAAGTCGTTCTGCAAATAAGTTAACAATTGGTAACCGTTCTATGCACGGTATGTCCATACACCAGTCGGCTGCATGCCGGCAAACCTAATTTGCTGCTGACGTCTTATATCGACTGCGGCGCTCTTAAATCGGCGAAGAGATGTAGTCCACACAAAAGCAGTTATTTAAAAGGTCCTGAATGGCAATCACAGCTTATTATTTGTGTTAAGGTTATGTCATAACGCTCCGTGGTACATTGATAGCACCACAAAGAGCTACAGCTGCACCCCGAACTCCATTCTTTTAGCGGGTACTGTCGCTCCCTTTCACAACCCATGGCATGATGAAAACACAAGACGGCCTATTGCCATACCGCGTTGGCTAATAATCTGCGCGATTGTCTCACATGCGACGCGCCAGTCGGTCCACATTGCAGAGAGCGGGCGATGGCTGTCTGGGAACCCGCCGCGCCTCTGGAACCAACATCGGGGCCATGGGGCCAGACAAGATCACTCACCCGAGGAGGTCGCTCACATACCTATCAGTAGCTAACCACTTTTGGTTGAGTGGCGATGCCACATAAACCAATAAACCAACGACGTTAAATGAGAGGAAAATAGAATGCGGGCCAAAACACTTTTGAGTAACATGTGTTTCACCAACGGCGGAGCGCTTGGCAGGGTGTCACTATTGCGCGCGCACGCTTCCCTGTGTCTAGCTTTTACCACGCCGCACACATCAGCCAACGCGAATTCACATAGAACTCCCAATTATCCGCTCGCAATTGCCAAAGTGAGCCAATTGGCAAGATGAGTCCGCTTTCCAGATGGTGCCACTTACGATGGCTGGAACAGAAAGCTTTCATGATTTTCACTGCGTTGACGTGAGATTGCTCGGTATACAGCCCTTACAGACTACCAGGCGGCATGCCGTATAGCCCCTTTTTCTTTCCACATGCAAGCCCGACCGCTTATACTCGTTTCCACAGCGATAGTGTCTGCGTACCGCATTCGACGTTTTAAGCGTACAGCAGATGGATGCTCAACAAACGTGTCCCTTTCTGCATACTGCGTGGCTTGACTTATTTTAAACGCCATTTACATCACTTATGGCCGTATGTCTAGCATGAAAACAGTTAAGTTTCACTTGCAGAATTAGCATATATTTCTGTACAAAACATCTACGACACGGCGGACTCATCGAGGCAAATAAAATACAAATTTGGAAAGCGTCTTGCAGGTGTGTAATGCGCCCTCTTCAGCACGCGTACACGCCACAGCCAACGAGAGGGTTAATATATACAGAGTTCTAGCACGACAGTTAAAACACCGGCACGTCCAGACCACGCGAGTGAACTCGATAAAATCAACAAATTGACCCCGCAGGCAGGAGAGAAAACTAGCGTGGTAGAACGAATCACAGGCTATGCTCGACTTATTTGTACCTTTAACCCTCGGGTGACTTCAAACCCCAGTCGTCGCATTAAGTACCAATGAATTTATACATAAAATACGCGAGAATACCATCCGCATCACCTGTCAACCATTTTGCAATGACTGTGCAAAGAACCGACCGAAGTCGATTTGTACTTGCGGTTTTTTTGTCAGATTGAAAAGTTGGAAGTTTATGAATGAAAAGGCTTGTGAGAGTGATGACCTCTAGGTGATACCGATGAGAACAAACGCCGGCTGCTACCGACCCGCCTGGGGATCACTAACGACCTGAAATGACCTCCGCAGGGCGAACCGGTCGCAGCCGACACTCCAGCCGTCACGAACGATGAGGATGAACACGAGCACCGATGACTTGACCCCAGCGTGATTGCGCCAATATTTCAGAGGATTCCATGTATCACATCTTCGCTTCTTACAGTCTTACAGTGCAGCTCGCCTTTGGCTACCTTCATTATTTGCACAAAATAAATTGTCAACAATAATTGAAACAGATTTGAACTTGGCTGGCCTGCAACCATTCGGTCAACAACGAGCGAGCCGGTCGTCACAGCAACAACGGCACCAAAGACCAATCGCCACTCCTCGACAATACAGGTCAACGACACAGGGGGCAGGCCTTCGGATGCTTCACCCCGGAACCTGTCCAGGGCGGAGGAGTGCGGACATTTATCACTTAGGAGTTGACTATCCCACCTTCTTTTTCCATGGTTTTGCTATTTTTTTGGTTCCGCTTTCTTCATGCCCTGGTTTCGGTGGGGGGGTTCAGGGAGATGGGGGCGAGTCGACAGCTGCTTCGTTCACACGGAATGACCCAGGGGCACATTAGCTCGCACATGCCCTGATGCTCGCGCATCACTAGCACCGCCGATTAATAACCACTTTGCTGAGATCATATCACACTATGGCTGGCAGGATGGGAGGTGAGACAGCAGACCTCTAGCTGAATGCGCACGCCGAGACCGGCTCGGCTATCCAGCCGGTCAGGTTGCCGTACGCGGCGCGCATGCGGTCCTTCTTCGCGGTATCCGGGCGAGCCCGCTCGTCCAGAAGCACACAGACGGACCCGTTCTCGCCGATCCGGTACGAAACCTCGTGAGGATCTACCCAGAGGGTCAGTTCGCTGGGAAACAGCGATCGCAGGAAGACCGCGTCCAGGCCGCAGCTCGCCCCAGCTGCCGCCACCAGCGGATCCATCTGGCCGTTGATTCGGATGCACCTGTACCCCGAGCCCTTGAACGGTTTCTCCGGGAACCAATGGTTGTGGTAATGATTCCGCATCACCACAGCCAGCGTGTCCCGGAAAACCAACAGATCTTCTTCGTTCAAGCTGCTCGGATTGCTAACCCGAAGCAAGTTCACGATGAAGTCGGACGCAGCAAACACCTCGGACTTCATGTTCTGACGTTCTTCAACCGGCAACTGGAGGGACGATAAACGCACATCAGCAATTCAACCACAATAAGTGAAGAATGCAACCCCTTCTTTCTCATACTGATATTCCATGAGAAAACTATTCACCCAGCCCATCTAATAGTTGAGACACGAGGACGCGAAACACCATCCATGATCAGGGTTGTAAGCCTAGAATCAGCTGACCCTGCGCTTTACTAACGGGAAAAAATGATCGGATCTTAACCTTAGTGAGACAGTCAGCAGAAACAATAAAAAAGTAATAGTATTCGCGCTTCGCAGCACCAATGCCACTCACGTTTTCAGCTTCAAGCTTTCGTCGCTCCTTTCAGTGCTGCTTCGTACAACCGGCAGACGTTCAGTTTGCTCTCATTCGCCCCTCTGTACACAGCCTTTGTCACAGTGGACGGTAACGACACGCTCCCACCCACCCGCTCCACACGCCAGACTCTCTCGCACTGCGCCAGTTCGCCACGCTCCGGAAAGGTCTTTCAGGGCAACCGTCTGACGTCAGAGGCGCAGAGGCTACCAGCCAATTGGCGGCCAGCGAGCGCGGCTGGCGAGGTTTCACGTGTGGGGGATAATAATCATACCGGGGTCGTCTACACAGCTCTAGGCGGGAATGGAGGTGCCCTGCATGCGCGCGCCACACGAGGGATTTCCAATGGGAGAACAAAATGCATTTAGTTCCATGATTTAAGTGAAAAATCAGTACAACGGCGCACGTTGTCAACCAGTGGCGCGTACATGTAGGGGAGGAGGAGGAGCAACTGGAAAGCCTCCCCTTTTCAAGCTTTTGTTTTCATGCGCGTGAATAACCGTCTACAAAAAATAGGGGTTAACACGTAACAATAAGTAGAAAGACAAGTAGTGTATCATTCGTAACGTAAGGAATGTTGCGCGTTTGCAGTGCACTATAATGTTTTATGTGAACAAATTGCATGTGCAACTCACATTGTGAAATCCCATATGCACGTCTGATATCAACTAACGGCTATCGGGTTAATCTGACCAACGGAGGGCCCGGGTGATGATGTCATTGTTTAACCCGGTTGCAGCACAACGCACTGATACCACGTCGTGCACAACTACAGGGCAGCAGCCATGTATTTTTATTAAGCCATATATTTATTGTTTAGCCATGTCTGCGGACGATACAGCAGGAACGTCTAGCCACTAGAAACCCAGCAAAGTCGAATGTATAAAATGCACTGGTTGTCATTTTGTTTCTATCCCATGCCACAAGCCTAACGATACTGTTGCAGCAACGTTTAAGTGGTGAATCTGCCCCTCCCCCCTTCTATACATACACCACGGAAGTTGCCAAGGGCGCTCCGATTAGCTCTTGACCGGCTTGACCGCCAAGCCAGATTCCAGATATGTTCCGCACAGTTTACCAAAGCACGCTGAATTCGTGAAGAAATGTATCAAATAAGCATGACAACAGCGTGAGCCAAACTTTGCCCATGCTGTGGGTCCTGTGTGGGCCTAACGCGGTGAGCTTTTGCGAGTTAAACATTTCAACAAGCAGAATAACGTAGGTTTGAGTGGTGCATATGCTTCAAAACAGTCCAAAAGCCATAGTGCACGCCAAACACATCACAATAATGACAACACACTCTATCTGTATTTTTCTAGCAAGTGCCTTGGTGGCAGAAAGCTCATGGCATGATCTGTATATAGATGAAACACCAGTAAGCTATGGTACGGAAGCTGAACAGCTTTGTGCAAGTATCTCACCAAAAAAGTCAACAAAAGTAAACAAAATTTCAAAACCTTGGCCCATTTCATTGAAAAGTTGTCAGGTGGGTCATTTATATAAATACAGCAACAAACTGCCTGTCGTCGCTGCGCTTGGCTGCTGTTGTGAGCGTGAGGTGCACTTAAATCTGCTCGTTGTATGTATAGCCCACATATCGGAACCCACATAACAGATCAATGAAGTACTAGGTTAAACCGTGGAACTTGCGCAGCCCTAGTCCCGCTCACTGGTCAATACACCACGCAGTTGCACTTTTGTACCACATGCGCAGCAGCTGTCGCAGTATAAAGCGTGGCAATATTGAGGTTGTTTATTCATGCCTACGTTTCTTTCTAACATGCGTGAGGGTAAAAGCTTCGACCATGATAACGGGGCTCTTACATACCATACGTTTCAACCTTACTGCGATTGTCATTAAGCTTGAACGTATATATATATATATATATATATATATATATATATATATATATATATATATATATATATTTATCTATCTATCTATCTATCTATCTATATATATCTATATCTATATATATATATATATATATATATCGCTCTCTCTCTCTCT